GTCTTACACTTTTCTCTTAGAAATTAGAGCCAGTGTATTTTTCTTTAAGTTGTCAAACTTTAAAGAATTGAATAATTCTAAAATAAAATACCTTCAGTGGTATGATGTTGATTATGACCCCCCCACATTTTTTTTTTTTTTTGATTGAACTAGGGGGCAATTAACCACTGAGTCACATCTCCAGCTATTTTTGTATTTTATTTAGAGAACAGGGTTTCACTGAATTGCTTATGGCTTTGCTAAGTTGCTGAATGTGGCTTTGAACTTACGATCCTCCTGCCATAGCCTCCTGAGGAGCTGGGATTACAGGCATGCACCACCATACCTACCCATCATGACCCTTCTTTTATTTTTATTGGGTGAACCTGCATTTTTCTATTTTGTGTAAGTTTTTTTTTTTCCTTTGTCTGGGTCCCCAGAAAGAAGGCTGTTTTCCTGCCATTGCTGAGACTTTAGTGCTTTTGGGAAGTAAGGTACAGCAAATTTTTTCACATGTTGTACTAATTGTGTCACTGATAATATGCCTCCTTGCATTGCTGATATATCAACTGTGTATTGGTAATCAAAAGAGTAGGATTGATGGGAAAGATCTGATAGTGATTTTTTGTTTATGGGAAAATGCTTTTGTATGTTGTAAAACACAGTATTTTGAACAAATAATTTCTATTAGTTCAGTTGTCGATTGACCTATAACAATCATTTATGTTCTGTTAGGAATTAGTATTGAATTTAAAATCAGAATTGCAAAAAGTGAACATAGAACAGTTTGTGTCACACAGAATGCCGTATGCCAAAAAGTCCATGAGAATAAAAATATAAGCCCCAAAGACCTCCTTTTATAGAAAGTTCATTAAAACACGACCCTAGATAAGAAACTTAGAGCATTTAGAGCAGTATACAAATTTGGCCTGCGTGTGTGTGGGTGCTTCTAGGAATAATGTTTTCTCAATAATTTAGTATTTTTATATTAATAATTTGAATTGACATACTATAAAGAAGCTTAGTGTAGTTCTGTAGGGCCTATCATCCCACGTAGGTATTGAATGAAAATGTCAAAATTGGAGGATTGCATAATGTATTCATAAACTTTGATTGTAGGACTTTTTTACTTTTTTTTTTTAAATACTGGGTAATTAACTCAGGGTCACTGTGCTGCTGAGCATATCTCCAGTCCTTATTTTTTCTTTTGAGACAGAGTTTTGCTAAGTTGCAGGGACTGGCTGAACTTGTGTCCTCCTTTCTCAGTCTATGGAGTTGCTGGGATTATAGGCTTGTGCCACCACACTCTTAAAAATTACTGGCACAAAGAGTTTTTTTTGTTGTTGTTGTTTTTTTTTTGTTTTGTTTTTGTAAGAGATAGAGGGGGGAGGGAGGGAGAGAGAGAGAGAATTTTTTTTTAAAAAATATTTTAGTTTTTAGTTTTCGGTGGACACAACATCTTTGTGGTGCTGAGGATCTAACCCAGGCCGCATGCTACCGCTTGAGCCACATCCCCAGCCCTTTTTTGGGTTATTATCTATACATACTCGCTTTATTAGAGACTTTGAGAAATTTTAAACATAATTATCTACTACTTCATTTTAAAATAATAAACCCATTACTTATTATGAAAAATAATTTTTGGCCAAAGCAAAAGCTTAATGAAAGGCATTATTTTACATTTTTGGCAGATCTTTTTAATAACTGGCTTAATAGAAAACAACTGGGTACTCATGTCTTCTACGTAGTATATTATGATATGTGGTTTAGGTGGAAGTATATAAAGGAAATACTGGGGATGTTGCTTGGTGGTAGAGCTTTTGCCTAGCATGTGCAAGGCCCTGCATTCAATCCCCAGCACTAAAAAAAGAAAAAATCTGCTCTCATCAGAAAAGTAGATTTGAAAAGGACTGTTTGAGTGTTTTTTTTTTTTTTTTTTTTGTTTTAAATCAAATCTTATGACATTTCACCCAAAGTTTTATAAAGGCTGGTTGTAACATGGAAGCTAAAATTGTATCAGTTAACTTTTCATACTGTTATATTAAGATCCAATGGTCTGTCTTGCACTTGGTTTTATCCATACATGGTTTTTCTTTTTTAATTTCTTTATTATTATTATTAGTTGTTCAAAACATTACAAAGCTCTTGACATATCATATTTCATACATTTGATTCAAGCAGATTATGAGCTCCTATTTTTACCCCGTCATGGTTTTTCTTTTCTCTCTTTTTTTTTTGGCACCGGGAATTGAGCTCAGGGGCACTCGACCTCTGTGCTACTTCTGCAGCCCTGTTCTGTATTTTATTTACAGACCAGTTCTCACTCAGTTGCTTAGCTCTTGGTTTTGCTGAGGCTGGCTTTGGAGTTCCTCATGTCTCAGCCTCCCAAGCCTCTGGGATTACAGGCATGCGCTACTGTGCTTGGCCCCATACATAGTTTTCTAGGGGATTATGCAGAGCTTTCAAATGTGAAATTGTATTATATGATGTTAGATATTTACATTGATTACTATCACCACAAATCTGTTTAATTAGAAATGGCTTTTTAAGTATTGGAGAAATGTTCAAGCTCATGAGGTGGATCCAAGTTCAAAATACTAATTTTAGCTTGAAATCTCACTTTTTTATCATTGACAACAAACTTTTTAAAAATTTTTAAAACTTTTTTCTAGATGTAGATGGACACAATACTTTTATTTAAAGTTTATTTTTATGTGGTGCCAGGGATCGAACTCAGTGCCTCATGCATGCTAGATAAGCGCTCTACCACTGAGCCACAACCCCAGCCCGACAGTAAAAATATTGTCAATGATTTTCCTTGAAGTGACAGATTCACTTTGTTTAGCTTTGAGAAAATGGCTGCTAACTACTTGTCAGTCTTTCTGCCAAATGAAAATAGTATTCCATGTAGAAAACTAGTTCAGCTTTGTAACTCAATTGTATAAGTGCTTTTCCTCAGACTTCATAAAGCAGCACAGTGCTTTACACATACTTTCCCTTTCAATACACAATATTAAAACATGTACTCAAGGGTTAAGATTTAATAAATTTTTAATTCTTACTGCTTCATCAAGAACATCTTAAGTGGAGCTTGCTTTCTTTTAACTGCAAGTGGAGAATACATGACTCTTAATACAGTTTGTTCTAACATACCAGCAGTTTTTGCTCATCTTTGGTTTTACACTCTCTTACTGAAGAGTAGGTGTCAACACTGTGAAAAAGACAATGTTTTAGTTTTACTGTGAAAACATGGACGTCCAAATGGTCTTTTTGGCTGGGAATGTAGCTCAGTGGATGAGCACATGTGTAGCACACATGCAAGGTGCTGGGTTGATCCCCATCACTGCAAAAAACAAAAAGCAAAAATCCCAACAAACAAAAACCAAAATGGTCTTTGAGATCCCCATAATAATTCCAGAGACCATATTTTAAGAATAGATGACTTACATAGGTTTCCCTTTGCTCCCAGATCAAATAAATTAAGAGAGATGAAGAAGAGGCAAATGATTGAAGTTTCTAGCTTGGTTATTAAATAAATAAAAATGATTTTGTTAATTAAGATAATGAAACTGGGTGAGGAATAAGTGTGTTGGAAGAAGAAAGGGAGTTCTGAGATTCAAGGAGTTTAGGGATTAGGAGTGGGAATGTTGATTAGTATAGCTCAGAAAAAATTTTTTTTGAGGGTTAGTAAGCTTCATCATGCTATAATTTTTTTTTCCAAAATCTTGGTTGGGAGACTTCTTTTTTTTAAACTTTATTTTATTTACCTATTTATTTTTTAAAAAATATTTATTTTTTAGTTGTAGGTTGGAACACAATAACTTTATTTTATTCATTTATTTTTAAAATGGTGCTGAGGATTGAACCCAGGTTCTTGCACATGGGAGGTGAGCGCTCTAATGCCGAGCCACAACCCCAGACCTTACCTATTTATTTTTATGTGGTGCTGAGAATTGAACCCAGGACCTTGCACATGAAAGGCGAGCACTCTACCACTGAGCCATAACCCCAGCCCCTCCCATCATGCTATAATTGATGCCAAGGAAATGAATTGAGAATCTTGGGGCCGGGAGTATCAGCATTTAAAGGGGTAGGCAGGAGAAAGAACAGAATGATAGTAGTGTTAAGGACAAGTACCCTGGCGTGCATATTTTAATAATCTGTGTGTTGAAAGGAGAATTTCGGGAAGGTCAGCATGCCCAATGCTAATGTTTGGAAGAAGTCAAGAAAGGAGACACATACTTGATCATTGAATTTGAAAATGATCCTACTGGTGACCTTTGTCAGAGCGGTAGGGATGGAATCTAGATTATGGAAAAGGAAATAGTACAGAGGCAGCTGTTTTTAATATTCTTTAACGAAGTTTCTGGTTAAAGGGAATGAGACATGTTGGGCAATTAATTTGAGGACAGAGGAGACTTGAGTAAATTCTTAGGCTGAAGGGAAAGAGCCAGTATAGAACACATTAATGAGTGCTCTGATATGAAAGAAATTTGTTGAAGCAAATTGCTATTGTAGGAGTGGTACATTTATCCTTGTATTACAGACTGTACTTACAGAGAAGTGGGAGGAAGCTGATGAAAATTGGATTCCTGGCCAGAAAAGTGTACAAACCTATGACATTTGGCTTACTTTTTTTTGTAAGCATGAGGAGTTCCTTACTAATATGTTGCTATTTCAGGATGTTTAGTTTGATATATTTGCTTTAAATCCACTGATTCCCAAGAAGTTTGGAGATTTTTGTTTTACATACAAATGATTTAACAATTTGTGATTATCGCTGAATGGAACTTCTGTTTTGGCAACTTTAAATCTGGTTTTCAAGTGGCAAAAAGAAGGGTAGAATTCTGTCTTGTTCAGGAATTGTGTTCCCTTCATCCCTCCAGATGAAAGACATTCAGTGCTCCAAAGTATTTTCTTCCTGGAGGCAGAATTTGGATAATACCTTAAATAGTGTATGTATTTAAAATGTATGTTATTCAGTGTTTTTGTATTTCTAACTTTTCTTCTTTTTCTTCTAGTCTGTTCTCAGGGGAGGCAGTAAGAGGCTGTGGAGCTGGCCTCGGCACCGGCATCGGGAGAGGCTGGACTTCCTGTCTCTCTGTGCTGAATGGCTGCGATGGCGCCCGCTCTCACCGATGCAGCAGCTGAAGCACATCACATCCGGTTCAAACTGGCTCCCCCATCCTCCACCTTGTCCCCCGGCAGTGCCGAAAATAACGGCAACGCCAATATCCTTATTGCTGCCAACGGAACCAAAAGAAAAGCCATTGCTGCAGAGGATCCTAGTCTAGACTTCCGAAGTAATTCTACCAAGGAAGACTTGGGAAAGCTGCAACCACTGGTGGCATCTTACCTCTGCTCTGATGTAACATCTGTTCCTTCAAAAGAGTCTTTGAAATTGCAAGGGGTCTTCAGCAAGCAGACAGTCCTTAAATCTCATTCTCTGTTGTCTCAATCCTATGAACTCCGAGCTGAGCTGTTGGGGAGACAGCCAGTTTTGGAGTTTTCCTTAGAAAATCTTAGAACCATGAATACAAGTGGTCAGACAGCTCTGCCACAAGCTCCTGTAAATGGGTTGGCTAAGAAATTGACTAAAAGCTCAACACATTCTGATCACGACAATTCCAGTTCCCTCAATGGGGGAAAACGGGCTCTCACTTCATCTGCTCTTCAGGGAGGTGAAGTGGCGGTAACTGACTCTGGGGACATAAAGGGGGGTATGACCAATTGCACTCTTCCACACAGAAGCCTTGATGTAGAACACACAACTCTATATAGCAATAATAGCACTGCAAACAAATCTTCTGTCAATTCCATGGAACAGCCAGCACTTCAAGGAAGCAGTAGGTTATCACCTGGTACAGACTCCAGCTCTAACTTGGGGGATGTCAAGTTAGAGGGCAAAAAATCTCCCCTGTCTTCCATTCTTTTCAGTGCTTTAGATTCTGATACAAGGATAACAGCTTTATTGAGGCGTCAGGCTGATATTGAGAGCCGTGCCCGTAGGTTACAGAAGCGCTTACAGGTTGTACAAGCCAAGCAAGTGGAGAGGCATTTGCAGCATCAGCTGGGTGGATTTTTAGAGAAAACTTTGAGCAAATTGCCAAATTTGGAATCCTTGAGATCCCGGAGCCAGTTGATGCTGACCCGAAAGGCTGAAGCTGCCTTGAGAAAAGCTGCCAGTGAAACTACCACTTCAGAGGGACTTAGCAACTTCTTGAAAAGCGATTCAATTTCAGAAGAATTGGAGAGATTTACAGCTAGTGGCATAGCCAACTTGCGGTGCAGTGAACAAGCATTTGATTCAGACATCACTGACAGTAGTTCAGGAGGGGAGTCTGATATTGAAGAGGAAGAATTGACCAGAGCTGATCCTGAGCAATGCCATGTATCCCTGTGAGTAGACTGCCTGCATGCATTATGTCATTCTTGAGAAATGTTGGGGCAAAGACGACTTAGTGAATCCCTATTTTGGAGAAACTAGAATTGTTTGTATATTGGTGCTTATGTTCCATTTATCTTTTTCCTAGTTTTAGGTAGATAGATACATGTATCTAGTAGAAAAGGAAAAAAAGGCAGGAATTTCTGATATAGTGTTATGTTGCTGTAGGCCAAAAGATGCTAATTTTCTTGGAAACCTTATTAAGGAAAAACTATAAGACATCATATTTGTAACATCATACCAGTACTTCTTCAGAGTGAGTAAAATTCTTTTGAAACTATATGGCTTGAATGTTGAGATTTTGTTGTTTTTAATAAGTAGCCATAAATATTTAGTTAATTTAGTTTTATTGGAATTTATAGTGGCTTTTTTTTTTTTTTTTTTTTTTTGGTACCAGGGATTGAATTTGGGGGCACTGGACCACTGAGCCACATCCCCAGTCCTATTTTTTGTATTTTATTTAGAGACAGGGTCTCACTTGAGTTGTTCAGTGCCTCAGTTTTTGCTGAGGCTGGCTTCAAACTTGTGATCCTCCTGTCTCAGCTTCCCGAGCTGCTGGGATTACAGGTGCATGCCACTGGGTCCCATAGTGGCTTTTAATCAGAAATTGAGCACAGCATACCCTAATCTTTTTCTTTCTTTTCTTTCTTTCTTTCTTTTTTTTTTTTTTTAAAGAACTCACTATTTTTATTCTGGAATACTCAAAATATGTACAAAAGTAGAGTAGCTCATTTCCACATGTACATTATCCAGTATACCACATCAGCTTATGACCAACCACCTCTATGCCGATACTCTTCCTCACCTTCCATATAAGATTTCTTACTGTTAGAAAAAAAGTACTTTTTCCTGTGTTCTCTCTGCAACGTTCAACATAGAAAATATCAGTGACTTGAAAAAGTGTTAGGGCTTCTCCTTACCTGCAATCAGTCAATTTTAGTGAACCCCAGGTGGACGTCCTCTAAATGCAATTCTTGTCTACTTGGGAAAAGTGTCATATCCCACAGGTTGAGGACCCAGTCTCCAAGACTGACACCCCTCTCCATTTCAAGTGCTAAATGTAAGCTCCAGGTTGTTTTACCTCTGTTCTAACCAACTGGCTATAGATCAGGTTCCTAAAACCCTTTCCTCAGTTTCAGTTATTTTGCTTGAATGGTTCATAGAACTCTGGGAAATGCTATTGTACCTTTACCAGTTTTTTTTAAATCAGTGAAATTACAAAGGATACAAACATGCAGAGGATGGAAGAAGGGGTTTCGAAGCTTCCCCCCCCCCCCCCCCCCCCCCCGGTTTGCCTAAGTGTCCTGAACCTCTCTCAATTTGTCCTTTTGAATTTTTATGAAAGCTTGATTACATAGGCAAGGTTGATTATGTCTTTGGCCTTTGGTGATCAACTTAACCTTCAGTTACCCTCCCCACTCCAGAGGTTGAAAGTGCCAACTCTTTAATCACACCTTGGTCTTTCCAGTGACTAGCCCCCCTTCTGAAGCTACCTGGGGCCTGTCAGCCATCAGTTCAGTTTATTAGTATAGAAAACCTGCTATCACTTTGGACATCCCAAGGATTTTGGGAGTTATATGGAGAAATAGACAAGACCAAATATGTGATTCACACTTACACTTTAAGGACTAATAATTGAAAAGTGCTTAAGAATATTTTTACTGCTATTTCCAAATTTGTTGGTTTGAGAAAATTCTATATAAATTCTTTATGGGCAACTGGCCAAATTGGGATGATGGAGCTAGAGGTACTTCACTCTTTCAGTTCTTTATTTATGTATTTAAATAAGGAAGTACATTATATTTATAAATAAATAAATCTGCATTTACTACTTATAAATGTTAGATTTGTGAAAGAGGGTACATAAGAAGTTGGGAAAGATGGGCAGGATAGTTGACTAGTAGATTCTCTTCATTTTCCTTTTGGAAGAAATGTTGTAATGTCTGGAATACTAGAGAAGGCAGTTGGTGGATATGTTGGAAAAATGTTTTTTCTTTACCAATAGTAAAAAGATGACTTAAGATTTTATCTGAAGAGTTTGATGATTGAGGCAGCAGTGCTTTTAACCAGCAAATTACCTGGGTTTCTTGGGTTTGTTTGTTTTATTCACATGTATGACTTTGTGTATTTGAAATGAAACTTTGTTTTATGTTTCTGTTTTGAAGATAATAGTCTAGGTAATTTTTGCAGAATTTCTACATTAGTTTACTTATAAGTTCACGTTTAAAGTGGATGTTTTAGAGGTTCACTACTTTTGTAAGATAGCTTACCTTTCTTTAAAAGTGTTAGCAGCTTAAATCAGCTTGCCAATATTTGTGGCATTATTCTCACTGACTTTGCTGCATAATTTACCACTATCTTGGTGGACATTAAACATTTCTCATTTAAAATTATAGCAGGCGCATGCAGTTGAAGATTCATAATCTGTGTATTTTGTGTATTTAACAAAAAGGCATCTTGACTCTAAGTAAGGTTATGTTCAGAGAACATTGCATTGAAAATATTAATAGGTTTTGGTAATGCTGTGGTAAGTGTTCTAATGCAATGGAATAAAAATACCCAAGAGAACTTATTCCATAGGGTATTCTACTAACTTGAAAAAACCTCTTAGTTCATTCATTCACTACTTGGTTCTGAGTAATATTCTCAAATAATAATGTGTTGATTGTAGGGGTGAGAAGTGTAAGGCCAGCCAAGGGATCATGTTGGGAAACTTTTTGGGATTGATTGAATCCTCTTGAAATTAAGTCATCCAGATACTCTTTTAAAATGTTAACTTTCTGAGCTCTAGATCATATAAAAGGAAGCAAAATTTGGGCACTGAAAGTACTGTCAAGTAAATATTTTTTTGCACATTATAATTGTATTTAAATTAAAACCACCAGTACAGCATAAATACTTTAAAGTTTTTGTTAAGATTACCAGATTGGCTTTTTAAAAATTCTTTTTAGATCTACATGACAGTGGAGTGTATTTTGACATATTAAACATATAACATACATGGAGTATAACTTTTAATTAGTATCCCATTTTTGGAGTTGTTTATGATGTGGAGTTTCATTGGTGTTGTATTCATATATGAACATAGGAAAGTTAGATTCTATTCATTTTACTGTTTTATTCTCATCCCCCCTCAATTCCCTTCATTCCCCACCCCACTTCCCTTCATTCCCCATTATCTAATCCAGTGAACTTCTGTTCCCACCCTGCTCCCTCATTACCAGATTGACTGGTATTTATTTAAGTGTTTGTTGATCTTCTCAAAATTTTAAGTTTTTAATAATTTGCCAGATAAAGCATTACTTTAATTAAAAAAGAAGAAAAGGGAAATTGTTTTTCAGATGCTCAGAATCCTTTTCTTTCTGATCTGATAGTTTCTCCCAAATCTCATAACCATAATGAAATTGTTGAGTCCTAGAATGAGTAGTTATTTCTGCTGTAACAAGTTATGTTCTTGTTAAGCAGCTTGTCTATATTTTATTCTGTTTCCATAGGTATAGTAGGCCAAATATATATAGTTTAGGCAGCCATGATGAAAATATTTTGTACAGGAGACTGTGGAATGAGTTGTTTTTAAATAAATTACAAATGGATGTAATTTCTGAAAATCGAGTCCTCCACCAAGATTTAAAGTTGTGTTTTTTGCTCCCCTACCTCCTAAAGGAAAAATTGTGATCTCTAACTATGATCTCTTGTAAATTCTTGGCACATGCTAGCAGTAGTAGAATGATTGATTTTTTTTTTTTTTTTTTAATGTGTTGAATTTTTGGCAAATTGTGTGTTTGTCATTGTACTGCACTTGGCAATAAACTATATTGCTAACTGAGACAGGTTAGAGAAAATCTTTCCCTTTTTTGGTTAATTTTTTTGTTAACTGATTTTATGTTAGCTTTTAAAATCTTATGCTTTTGTTTAACTTTTTTGAAAAATATTCTCAAAATGTTTCATGCATCTGTTTTGGTAGAGTGTACATACAACTGCTTTGAAAATTCTGTACTATCTTGGGTTTATTAGAAATTAAATCATTCTTAACTGACATTCTGTGGAAGGTGTAGGAAATACCTTAATGTTTAATTCTTAAGTTAGAAGTGATATCCTTGTTGAGTGTGTTTGAATGTGTGCTTGTTTTCTTCACTTTAGCCCTACCCCCCCAACCCCCGCCCTTTTTCTCTTATTTTGTTCTCAGTCCTTGGAGCCATTTCTGATTTTGCTAAACTTGTTTTTCATTTTATGGGTCCTGTGCTTATAAATTTCCATAATAAGTACCTCCTGTCAAAACAATTAGCAATGGACTACATTATAAACCCCCTACCACCACCGTGTGTGTGTGTGTGTGTGTGTGTGTGTGTGTGTGTGTGTGTGTGTTTTACTGGGGATCTAACCTAGGGTGAGGCAAGCACTATACATCCCTGTCCTGGTGCACTTTATTTTTTCCCCTTTGAACTGTTACTATAGATTGAAGCTTATCTTGAAGGTTGCTATAAAAATAATTCAATAAAACATTGTGACTATTGAAATATTGTTGAAGATGATGTTCTTCACAGTGCTTCCCCTCACTCCCACCTCCACCCCCTCCACCGCCGCCCCTCCTCCCTGTTTTTGATGCTGGGATAGAACCTGTGGTGCTTCATACTGGCTCACATCTCCAGCCATTTTTTTGTTTAAGAGTTTAAGATTTTGAGACAAGGTTTTGCTAAGTTGCTCAGGACCTTGCTAAATTTCTGAGTCTGGCCTTGGACTTGTGATCCTCCTGCCCCAGCCTCCCAAGTTGCTGAAATTACAGCTGCGTACCAACATGCCTGGCTACACAGTGCTTTGTTTTTAAGGATTACGGGGGAAAAAGATAAACAACCAAGAATAAATGTTTCCCCCCACCTACGCTTTTAGTCTGTTTATGTTACCTAGATGCTATAATTTGTGTTCTGTAGATTTCTTGTTTTTCTGTTGGATTTGG